AAAAAAAAAAAAAAAAAAAAAAAAAAAAAAAAAAGTTAGCTAATTAGAAATAGCAAGAATTTTGCTTCTTGAAAAGACAGTCATTAATATTAAAGTTATTAAGCTTGTGTTCCATAGGAATTTTTATAAGCATTATTCTCTGAACACATACATATGAACCCCTTGTAATAAAGAATAAGGAAGAGGTGTAATTCACTGCTTTGTGAAGAAAAGTTCTGGTTTGCTTTGGCACTGTCAACCTCCTTTTAGGAACAGTAAGTTTCTCAATGAGCTTCCCCAAAAATATTTTTACAAATTAAAATAATTTAGCCTCTTTCTGTAAGAGTTACTCATGGTTTTATCTCCAGAGCCTAGAATACACAGATATAGAAAGGAACACTGATCTGTATTGTAAATTCAGAGTGCAAACAGCTTGATATAATCTACCTTTTTGGTCTTAGGTTGTTCTTCATCCAACATGGCTAATGTTCTGGCAAACTCTTCATCTTCATGCAATTGCCTCTCCAACTGTAAAAAGTGTCAACACAGTAAGTTTCTTTTGTTCTTCTTGTCAGTGAAAGTTTTTAAGTGTTTGATATACAGGTATTTAGAAGAAACTGGAAAAACATTTTCCAGAAAATAACTATGACATTTTTCTACTTAACATTTAACAGTAAGTATCACAGGTTTGTTTCACTAAGCCAAGTTAACTTTCAGAACACACATTTCTAACTTTACAGGCATAATAGATAAATTTAGCATATTTTTAAAGTCACATTTCTGACTTAGAAAATTTGAAGTCTATAGTTTTCTCTTAATGGTCCTAATGCAACACTTACAGACCTATTTCTATTTATTTTAAATTCTGGAAAGACCTCTGAAAGAAAATGTAAACTAACAGAAAAACATAATTGTCTGGAGGGCACAAAAAAAAGGGAATCTAAGAAATTAAGAAAAGCATAATTTTCTTTGCACACAATAGTAACCATCACTTTTTACCATTAAACTCCCATTTTCGATTACTAATTCAAATGCACCTGTTCTGACTTCTGAAATTTTAAGTCATCACATCAGAAGTTTCCCTAATATGCTAATGTAACACACACATTCTAGTTACCTCACTGTATTTACAAATATCTTCACTCTCAGCAAAATGGAGCTCTTCCCGAAGACAGTGCAGCAGTGGAATACATTTCTCATTATAAACTAAATGGTTTTATGTCCTTTGGTAAAATGGCCTAACATAAATTGAACAAAAACCTCCCCATGTTATTCAAACAAAGGAAAGGACATCAAAATCCACCCAGTCCAAAAGGCTTGGAAGTTGGCATAAGCCTGATGAGGACACAGTAACCAAGCCATTTCCTGTTTATAAAATGAACTAACCCAAACTACGCAGACTACCAAGCCAGACAGATGCACACTAATACATTCTGTTGCCTAACATTTCTTTATCATAACTGAACTACACATCTCATTGTGAAAAACAGTATTAAAATCTTAATCATAGAAAAGCCCTTCAAACTCTAAACCACTGGCAGCCTTGCAAGGATTTCTGGTTGAAGTCTATATCACTTTCCCAAAATTTCACACTGTGTAGTATGCTCTGGAAAAGAGGATTCTAGATATTTGAGCAGATAAAAGAAACTGAAATACTTGCATTAGAATTCCATTATTGGTGAACATGGCATCATGTGATCAAGAGTCCTGTATTTTATTATGACATTTAACACAGCTAAATATGTCATTTAACATACTGACTTACATATTAGATAACAGATGCATTTACTAAATGAATAAACAAAAGAGGTAGGGCTCGCCAGTTAGCTCAGCTGGTTAGAGCAAGGTGCCATAACACCCGGGTCAAAGGTTCAGATCCCCATACCTGCCAGCACCCAAAAATAAATAAACAAATAAAGAGGTAAACATGAGGAAGAAAAAAAGGGGAAAAAACTCTCAGAAGGAAAATTGGGAAAGACACCATCATCATTAACACACTAAAAGTCCTTCATCAGATTAATAAATTACCCAAAGAAGATTCTGAAAGAATGTGATAGAAATGGGGAAATAGCAGACTGTGATACAAAGCACCACGCCTGGTTTGGAAAGGATTGAGTAACCCTCCAGAAATTAGGACAGATGAGGAGAAGTCAGATTACTAAAAATTACTTCCTAGTTTATCCTAGGCTACTCATACTACCTTGAGTCATGTGGACACCTGTTTGTAGTTTATGTAATTCAGTGTGATCAAATAACACAAAAAGATTTTGAAACACAAACTATAAACTGCCAATTAATAAAATGTGAACAATCACGATATTGTTCTCTCAAAATATTTATCAAGAGCCCATTCCATGCCAAGCACTAAGATAAGCATTGATGTCACAATGGTTGAGTGACACATAAACAGCCCTGGTAGGTAAAATTTATAGCCTATATGTAGGAAGACGCTTAAGTAGCAATTATACTAAATGATAATAGTAGCCATAATAAGGTGCGACAGAGTATATGGCAGAGGTTTCTAATATTGTTTGAGGAGTCTGGGAAAATGACACGCTAAGAAATAGGGAGAAGATTCAAATAGCAGATACCTAGGTCTGGAGCCTCTGACAGACACAAGCATTCCTACTGAATATATTTTCTTCATTTGGCTTCCATAAAATACCAATCCCGAGATCTTTTTTCTTTTCTGTTTACATTCTCTCCCCATGATCTCATCCAGTTACACTGATCTTAACATTCAAGTGCTAATGAATCCCAAGCATACACTTCAGCTTAGACCTCTGCTGTGAGCTCCATACTCCTCTACCCAATCGGCCACTCTGTATCTCCATCTGGAAGTCTATTAGCCATCTTGAACATACCATGTACAAAACAGAACTCTTGATTTCTCTTACCAAGCCTGTTTGGCCTCCTGTGTTCCAGTCTTAGTAAATGATATCATCATTCATCCAGTCACTGAGGCCACCCTTGAATCTTCTTCCCCCACATCTTACATCCAATCCATCAACAACTTGACTGCTTCACCATCAGGGCACACTCAGATTATAACTGCTTCTCACCACCTCTTCTGATGCCAACCTGGTGCAAGCCAAGATCTTCTCTCACCTACCCTACCTTAACAGTCTCCAATCTGATCTGCCTTTAATTTTGCCCCACCATGGTCTATTCCATCACAAAGCCAAAGTAATTTTCTTTTAAGATCCATCAAGTCATATCACCTCTATTCAAAACTCCAATGGCTTCCTGCCGTGAGCCATCCTGCTACAGGGAGTGGCATGGGAGCCTGAGAGTGATGCCCCTTATTCAACAGGCTGCAAGAGGGTCTCCTATGTGCGGCACGGCTCCGTGGAGATTTCTTGTTTGTTTCACCTTTACTTGACAAGGCTTTTCAGAATTAGAGGCCTAACTTTTGGCTTAGTGTGGCTTTGGGGGATTCCAAGGGCCCTGGAGTTTCTCAAGGCCATACTGGCATGTCCTTTGGAAAATTCAAAGGGCCCTGGGGTTTCTCAAGGGACATGTTAATAATACATCAAAATTAATTGGTTTAGGGCCAGCCCCGTGGCTCACTCAGGAGAGTGCGGCGCTGGGAGCACCAAGGCTGCGGGTTTGGATTCTATATAGGGGTTGCCTGTGCGCTCACTGGCTGAGCGTGGTGCGGACCACACCGTGCTGAGAGTTGCGATCCCCTTACTGGTCAAAAAAATAATAATAATAATAATTGGTTTATTTAAAAGGCATTGTCAGTACTGAAGGTGTTTTTGATGCATGTTCCCACTAGTATGGGTTGGCTCAGTTTAATTTTGTTATTAATCTTCTTTGTTACTGATATGTGCATTAACCCATTGTGGCTGTGGTCATGCTCTTGTACGTGTGGAATGAAGTTGTTATGATAGATTTCTATCTACATTCCCCCAGGGAGACGGTGGGTCTGAGTGCAGTAATGTTTACAACTAATTTATCACAACCAGTTACAGATTTCTTTGTTTCTCCCCACTCCCACAGTTTCACTTGATTTACCAAGAACATGTTCTTTTTTTTAGTAATAATAAGAATGATATAGTGTGTTTTTGTTAGCTTGAGTAGGATCACTTAATTTTTCACTTTGTTCCTTATACTGTTCCCAGAGTCAACTGGCAAGAAAATAGAAAGTTTTACTATAAATATGAATAGGTAAAATAGTAAAGATATATAAAAAGGTTTTGATATTAATAGATTTTGTTTAGATTAAGGTGTAATTGTTTTTAATAGTAGTGCAAAATATAATAGAACATTATAATTAAGTTTAATTATATAAAATCATGTTGTAAATATTGTGATTTTGGTTAAGATTTAAAGTAATTAATATAAAACAAAACATTAAATTGTTAGATATAAGTATAAGTAAGATTTAATAGGAATTTAGAATATAAGTTTATGTGTAAAAGTTTAAAAGGTCAAGAATTGTGATTCAGACCAAAAGTCTGACGCTTTAATGCCAAGCATGCCGCTATTGTATAGTTTCCTGGCCACAAGCCACAGGCTTTAGGGTGAACTATTGATGCATGAGTAGGTGTTTTTATCACAGCATGATTGCTTTGGAACATTTTGTTTTGTCTTTTTCTATAGAAATGAAATAAAAAATGTTTTGATTAAAAGATAAATCATCATGTAAAAGGTTACGTAAAAAATATAAATAAAGCAAGATTTTTGTGGTTGGTGTCCACACTTGCACTAGACATCTGTGGTCCATCTCTTCCTTTTCACCGAATCCATACCACCTAATCAGGTCCAACAAATCCTGCGAAGCTGGTCTCCAGCAGCTTCCCATCTCACAGAAACTAAAATCCAAAGTCCTTACCATCCAAAGTCCTGTCAGTATGTATCAAAGACCTATCATGACCCACAGGATTTGCTGCTGGCCATTTCACCAAAATCATCCTAAACCACTCTCCTTCTCAATCACTCTTCTCCAGCCATACTGGTCTCCTGAACACATGAAGCACAATTCTGCCTCAGGATGTCTGCATTTGCTGTTCTCTATACTTAGAGGAAATCTTCCTCCAAGTAGCCAGCACCATGGCTCACTGCATTATTTCATTTTGTGCCCCAATGCCATTCCTTGTGCTCAAGGATCTTCCCTAAAACTACCCCTTTACTTTTCTTCATAGAACTTATAATTACTCGACATTACATTCTTTTTTTTATTTTTATTTATTTATTTATTTATTTTGTCTTTTTTCCGTGTCCGGCAACGGATCGCAACCCTCAGTGTTGCCCCCGCACCGGACCGGGGACCGGCAACGGGACCGCAACCCTCGGCGCTGCTCCCGCGCCTCGCTCAGCCAGTGAGCGGGAACCGGTCTGTATGTGGGATCCGAACCCTCGGGCGGGAGCGCCGCCGCGCTTCCCAAGCGGTGCACCATCCAGTGCGCCACCGGGCCGGCCCATTCTTTTTTTTTTTTATTTTTATTTTTTTTTATTTTTAACTGCAGTATCCTTAACATCTAGAACAGTGCTAGGCACTCAGTAAGAGCTCAATAAACACTCGTTGGATGACTATATGGGTTTATAGCTCAAGAGAAAGCTCTGAACTGGAGACAGATTTAGAGGTCATCAGCATACATGAGTACATAGTAATTAAAGCCACAGGAATGTGTGAGATTGCTCATAGTGGAAAGAGATATGAGCAAATTAAACTTTTGTGGGGAAGGGGGCTGGCCAGTACAGGGATAATTAAACTATTTTAAATATACTAATGGTGACTCCCAATCAAAGAACTCTAAAAATAAATCTTTAGGTAAATAATTATCCCTGGTCTCATAATTTATCTTTTCTAAAAATCTAGATTTTCATATATTAGATTATACTTATTTTACACGTGTAACTTTCAACGAGGCTCAATTCAAAATTAGACCAGAAGAATCTTGATTGTTTGCCTGGCGAGATTAAACAGCAAGTCACAATATCAAGTTATTAATGATATCTAAACAAAATGCCAATACCTCTGCATCTTCATCAAGTTGCAATTGCTTGGCGATGGCTTCATCATTTAATCCAGAATCATTTGTATTTTGTGAAGGCTATGTTCCAAAGAAAATCAAGCAAGATCAGTATAAACCTTAAGTAAGAAATAAGGTGCCATTCTTGACTGCAGCTGATTAAATATACCAATGAGAGACAAGCCTATCAATAATAATCACAATGCACACCAACAAGAAAGTCAAGTGTATGGCCACTCCCTGACCACATCCAATTTCCTAATAAGTAAATATCTCATGGACAGATAGTTATCACTTAGTTCTATTGATATGTTCAAGAGAAGTATCAAAACAAAAATATAAAAAGTCCGGTAGATTAATGTGTTGGCTTGAAAAGAAGCCCACCCACAAGTATGTACAATCAACTATGTTTCAATAAAAAATAAACAAAAAAAAAGAGAGAGAGAGAGAAATAGTCCAAAACACTGGCAAACCAATATGTGCAAATGATTACATTGCCCTATGAAGGCACTAATGAAATCAACAGACACCCCATTCGGCAGGCTACCTTAACCAGGAAACTACTTTCCCTATAATTTATCTGTATGTCTGTTTTCTAATGGACAGAAAAAGATGAATCCAATATTAGTCAAAGCAGAGGTCAAAAGTATAACATAGGTATGCTCTACTTATAAAGGATGTATTATCTCATTTGGGAACAGATTTATTGCCTGATTTTGGTAAGGTCAATAGTAAAATGAGTCTGCATTCTGAGAATTCAATTCAAATTCTAAGAATTATAATTTTTTCTTATGGTTTAAATGATCTTTTCCCACTTTCAAGTATAAAATAATTAAATGTGTAATATCCTAACTTCCTCATCCTCTAAAATGAGGATAATACATTTTATCCATAATCATAGAAAAATGATTTTCACTAATAAAACATGTTGACCCATTTATAACATCAAAATTTGTCTTATTAATATCAGTGAATGGGTACAAACCCTGAACATCCTTGCTTGCATGTAGAACACTCACCTCTTTTCTCTTGCTTGCCACCATCTTCTTATCTGATCTTTGGACACTTCCAGTTCCAAAATAATCAAGCACTGATGTGGGTGTAAGTTTTATTGGTGATAAAGGTTTATTCTCAGTCTTAGTTTTTTCTTCATTCTTTTTCATGTTTGATACTCCAAGATAACTATTGGTAGATCCTCCATTCTCTTTTGATTTTGAGGCTGCCTTCTTAGACATAAAGTCATCTTCTTCATCTTAAATGGAATATAACCAAATAGTTTTTGATAAAACACCAATTTAATCATTTATATTCTTTCTATATTAACCACATCTACCATCGTTATAAAAAATATACAAGAGGTTTGGGATGCTAATAATTTTTTTTCTTCCTGTCTCCCGAATTCAACAGTCATCCCCACGTTTACCAGCTAGGTCTGTAATACACTATCTCCCTCAATTACTACTTAGAGTACACAAATATTTTCTGAGTACCTATTACGTACCAGGCACTGAGGTTACAGCAGTAAATAAAAAAGACAAAATACTTGTCCACATGGAAGTTGAAACCTTAGAGAAAAGGATATACAAATAAACAAATATATATTGTAAATTTATATGTGCCATGAAGAAAAAGTCAAATAGGGTGAGAGAATTAAGAGAGATGAAGCATGCTCTCTTACATAGGCTTTAGGTGGTCAGGAAAAACCTCTGTGATAAGCAACTTTTGAACAGAGCCCTGAAATGAAGATACCTCAGGCAAGAATATTCAGGCAATGAAAACTACAAGTGCAAAAGCTTTAAGGTGAGTGTGCTTGGAAGTCAATGTGACTGCAGCAAGAAGTTGATATCCTTTAGTATAGTAACTCCTGGAGATAATCAGAGGCACTGACAAATATTTATACACAAATATATTCATCACACTATTAAGAACATGAAAAGTATAAGCAACTAAAATAATGAAAACTGGGGAAAGGCTTATATAAATTGTGCTCTAACCAAACAATGGACTCATGCAGCCATTAAATACTAAGCCCAAATTTCAAGGTTCAAAAAAGTGATGAAAACAGCCAAATTAAGCTGGCAAAAAAGCAAAATGCATCACTTTGTTGTTTTATATTAGCCCTAACATTACAGGTACAGATGTCACCCCTAAAAGAAGAGCTGCTTTTCATGAGCCTTCTCTACTAGTGATCTCTTTACAATAGTGGAAGGTAATAGAGCCCGTCTCTGAATATGTGAATTTAAACTTAACAATGCCTTCAAGCTATAGATCCAAAATATGTACTATGCCTAAACATAGACATAATTTTATAAACATTTTTGTAATTTCTGAGTAAAAATTTAATTACAAGTGGATTTCCATCGAAAAAATATGGAAGTGTTCTGTGTGAAATTTCAAGTAGGTTTTCACTCTATTAATCAAAAGTTGCACACTTTTTCTCTGTTAACCACAAAATAAACAGTTCTCCAGGCCCTTTGGAAAGTAAAAGGAATTCTAGTGAAATAGAGTTATGAAAAGAGAAAAAAGGAGGACAATTCTCAAGGCCTGGCTCCCTTGCACTGAAGACTTAACTTAGTGCACCTACCCAAACTCACTTTACAGTTATGAGAATACCTAACACGAAAAAAGTAAATTTGTGATCCTAAGCATACAGACATTTCTTTCATATATAGATGATTCCACATTTATTCATAAATAAATACGGTATCCTATAAGTCACAGACATATCTGAAAGTATCCTGTCACCTTACCTTGATAAAACCAGAAAACCTGAAGAGCAGTCCTATTGTCTCTATACTATAACTTCTGAACTAGTTGTCTTAAAGCTCCTGTAGCCCTTAATATTTCAAAGGCTACATCAATATTTTATGAAGAAGGTAAAAGAGATGAAGGAAGCAACTAGCTGCTTGCAAAAGACACAGACATATAACAGGTGTTGCTGTGGCCATCCTCGTGTGAAATAAATATTCTACAATCCTATGAAGTGTGTAGAGATGAAACATTCCAAATAAAGCTGCTGTTGTTTTCTTTTTTAACATTTGTTCTTGTTTTCTAATAAGCCTAAATTTGTTTCTACCTTGTCAGAAGCCAAAGGCAAACTGTGTTCTCTTCTCCCCAGGAACTTATAATAAAATAATGATAAATATATCTAAGTCGAATTTCTGAGAACTCGTTGAAAATCATGGGCAATTGAATACTTAGAATTTCCCTTCAGGATATCTGTCTCCTTATAAACACACCATTTATTTTTATTTATAGACAACATAACCTCGAATGTGATAACAACGACCAAGTAAACTAGCATTATCCAACACAGCACAGGAATTGCCTGAGAGAGAAGATTGCTTTGCCACTCTGAGTTAGATAACATTCATTTATTTAGAAGGATAACAAATAAAAAAGAAAGAAAATAATATGCCGGTCCATATAAAAATCTATTTACAAGCCAGGAAAGGAAAAAAATCTAATTCTTGAGTTCATACTGCTGAGAGTTTTGCCTTTTCAAACAGATCTCTGAATACCCTTATTCTGTAATTTTCTTTCCTGTGGTCTGGAACACACAAAAAAACAAATTTATGGAGAGATGTGGTCATAGAGATTTAAAATAATTGGTGTTTTTTTGGCAGCTCACTAGCTCAGGAATCCGAACCCCTGACCTTGGTGGTGTTATCAACACCATGCTCTAGCCAACTGCTGACGGGCAGAACTGTGGTTACTAGAGGTGGGAAAGGGGAAGAGAGGTTAGCAAGAAATTGGTTAATGGACACAAAGAATGATTATGTTTTGTAATGATGAGTATACTACTTATTCTGATTTGACCCTCACATTTGTACACAGGTATTGATATTCAACTCTGAACCCACAAATATGTATAATCAATTATGTCTCAATAGAAAAAAAATATTAATAAAATAATTTAGCAACAAGTTAAAAACTAAAAATGGTATCTGGGTGTTTAAAAGCCTTTTTCTATAAAGTTCTTTTTCCATACTTCCTTTAGTCAAAAACCTAAATTATCCTTTTGGTTTTGGAAGTAGAGAAAGGATCATGCATATGTCAAGCATTCAGTAAATACTTGTTAATTAAGTGGATGGAAGAGAAACTAAACATACCATCTTTGTCCATTTATGTAATGAATCAGACATTCTATACATATCAGTATAATAAAATAAAAGTTGAGACTGCTCATCTTCAATCAAGAAACCAGAGATCTCATGATTCATTACCAGTGAATCCTCTTAGAATCAAATGGAATCAGTTATACTCTAAAAATGAAACTATTTTATAATTTGGGGTATTTAGTGAGGTAGTTGAGTGACGATAAAAAGAAAAAAGTACTGGCTTGAAATATGAGATTATCCACCCACATAAGTGCCAGGTCCACTGGATCTCACAGAAAAAAGAAAAGGGGGAGGGGAGAAGGGAAGGCTTAGACAACTGGCCACAGGTACATTACCCAGAGCTTCTATCTTGATTCTAAGGCATGAAACAGGCAATAGAAGGAAACCTGATTGGCCAGAGAGTTAAGGGAGTGATTCTGCAATACAAGCCCAAACTTCCATTCATGTATCTCTTCCTCACACATGAAAAAAGGGAACAATGCTAGTCTCAGTATTAAAGGCAAATATTATTTTGTTAGGACTTACTGACATTTTCATATGATAATCCTACTTCCTTAGCATTCTGGGACATAGCCCTGTGTCTCTCACAGCTTCATAAGTGCCTGATAGCAAAGTACATGTCACCAGAACAAACAAGTCTGTTCATTTTCAAAGATGTTTCAGAACCTCAATAATCATTCCAGTTACAAGATAATAGTGGTTACTAAGATTTGTAAGTAATGGAACGGTATCCTATTCACTGTGTCCTTTTTTAATTCTTCTCCCTCTCTGTATGCCACTTATTTTTTTTCAGGTCTCATAATAGGCACTAATAAAAGAAAACTGAAGAAGAAATTAGGAAAAAAGATTATAAGAAAGGCATCTAGCTCTTATAAAGATGTGAATTTGCAGATAAAACTGCTCAAGCACTACCAGTGACCTTTGAATCATATAAAATGGAAGAAATCCCTAAAGATGAAAGAGAAAAAATGGAATCCTAATTGTCCAAAAGAGAAAGACAGATCCCCAACCACAGAACTATAGAAGATGGGCCGGCCCGGTGGTGCATTCGGTAGAGTGCGGCGCTTGGGAGCGCGGCAGCACTCCCACCAAGGGTTCGGATCCCATATAGAGACCGGTCCGCTCACTGGTTGAGCGCGGTGCGGGCGTGACACCGAGGGTTGCGATCCCGTTGCCGGTCGCGGTACGGGCGCGACACCGAGGGTTGCGATCCCGTTACCAGTCACGAAAAAAGACAAAAAGGGGGGAAAAAAAAAAGAACTATAGAAGATGAAAGGTTTAGTGACAATGCTATGTAATAGTATCATGAGCAGGTCAAAGGGAGCGCACGGTATTCAACAGAAGTGGACAGGGATCCACTGAGAATAAATGAAGGCCTCAGCCTTCATTTCCTCTGTGAATTACTAGACTACCAGATGAGATGAATACTAAAAACAGAGATATCTGGACTTAAACAAAACATCCACCAAATTCTCTTCCAATATGCTATGGCGGGGTTTCTACCTCTGAGTTACTGACATTTTAAGCCAAGCAATTCTTTGTTGTGGGGAGCTGTAAATTGTGGAATGTTTAGCAGCATCCCTGGCCTCTACCAAATAGATGCCATAGAACTCCTCCAAGTTGTGACAACCAAAAATGTCTCCAGATAAAAAAATAAGTTTTGAGATATTGCAATTACAAAGACAAAATTTAAAGTCCCTATGTATTCAGAAATTAAGAAATACTCTCCTTTTTTTTTTTTTTCTTTCCCTTTTTGTCTTTTTTACCGACCGGTAACAGGATCGCAACCCTCAGTGTTGCGCCCGCACCGCGCTCAGCCAGTGAGCGGGAACCGTTTTCCACATGGGATCCGAACCCTCGGCGGGAGCGCCGCCGTGCTCCCAAGCGGCGCACTCTCCAGTGCGCCACCGGGCCAGCCCTGCCAAAAGTCTTCTGAGAGACAAAATCACCCTTTGTTGAGAAGCACTAATTTTTGGCAAGATAGAGAAATACAAGATAATAAGTTACTAAGATTCATAAGTAATGGAACAACTATTCATAAGGAGTGATGGCTATATCCAGGGTGCTGATAATGGTTCAATGCAAACGTTGAAAAGCTTTCTTCATTTGTCCCATAATGCTAAACAATTTT